CCCCAAAACCCCAAAACCCCTCAAGGTAGAAAATTTAAATAGTCTAATTTGATAATCTTTTTTTAAAATATTAAAAAATGAAATCATGTTTTAATCTGATGTTAATATCAACTTAATTTTATTTATATTCTTTCAATGGAAAAGACACCTAATTATTCTTTCAAAAGCATTTGCAAATTTTTCAATATATTTTGCTTAATCAAGGTACTATACCATTATTTAAATGATGTTCAATCCATGCTATAATATCCTGTGTCAAAGCCATGCCATACTACATATTTTAGGCATTAACTTTTCCGCCATCCAGTACAATTCCCATATGTATGTACCTTTTATTTTTAATCAAATAAATTGGCCCTCCGCTCATACCCTGATCAATAGAGCCATTAAACATTATTAACTTTCTTTAATCCTGCTGAAATGAATTGGTAATTCCAGCAATTACACTTTCTACCCCACAAAGTACTATATTGTCTAAATCCTTATTATTTGGGAAACCTAATATACAAATCTGATCATTTACTTCTATGTCAAGATCCTCAAAGCAACCCCACCAACTATTAAGACTCTTTGGAATGATTTTGTTACCAATATAACTATTCTTTTCAATAGTAGCTATAGCAAAATCATAGCCATCTTATGTCTTAGGATGTTGTGCAAATTCTTTGAAGATGTGGATCTTTGAAATTAATAATTCATTTTTACCAAGATCATTTTCTGTTCCTCCTAAAAAGAATTTGCATGATTTAGGTTGGCTAATTTCACCTAGTTAGTTTTAAAGATTTGGAACAATATCCACAATACAATGAGCACATGTCATTACAAAAAGCTTTCCTGTTTAATATTCTCAACATAATGTCCCAGATCCCTTTTTTATTAAGAGCTACGGATCTCCTTATAAATTTTGAAACTTTACAAATTTTGAAACTATTATACCCTAAACACATGGGAAATAATCTTGCCATTCTTTAGTTTTGAATTTTGTTTTGATATCTTTTTTTTTCTTAGGAGATTTTACATTTTAAGCTGCCTACTGCTAATCTTCCACTATTGAACTACTTATCGCATCTTTGATGTCACTGAAATTGATTTGAACAGAATTATCAATGAAATAAGTGCTAGATTGTCTGTTGAAAAATGATCTCAAATTATTTTCTGGCCTACTTTCCATTATATTAATTTATAAATTTGATCAAATTAATTTTTTTTAATTTTTTATATCAAAATATATAGTGATTTTATGGGGTTTTGGGGTTTTGGGGTTTTGGGG